AGCCTTTTCTTCTCTTCTCCCCAACCCCCCCCCCAGGAAGAGCTAAAGGGGAAATGGTGATTTACTTAGCTGCAGAGCAGCATGGTTTTTGGAAAAGCTCCTGTTGCAATGCTTTAAATGATACACTGGAGCAGAGTTTGAGTGTCCTGTTAGGAAAAAGTAAAATTCAGTACCAAAAGCTGCTCTTCCTCTTGCTCCCTCCAGAGGGGTAGCTTAGGTCTTGGAACTGTTTAGGCTACGAAACTGGGATATATGTAAAGAATATATAAAACTTGGGTATCATAAGAAGGATTTGCTGTCTGAGTAATGTAGATGCGATTGTAAATAGGTCCTTTCTGACCTCAAAAAAATCTGTAAAGTACTGTATTAGCTCAGATTGGAAAGTGCCTTTGCTGTTGAGGCAGCTGGGAAACTTAACGTTATAACATTATATATTGCTATAACTGGCATGGTTAGCAGACAGTTGTTGAGATAGGATGTGGGAACTATCAGCTGCGTTGGATCCTTAACATCAAGTATGATAAATAATTGTATGGTGGTACTTTTTAGATAAAAACCCCACTTCTCAGTTCTGGTGATGATGGAGGAGGAAGTTGGCAGATTGTCACTTTCTTGCATGGATATTAGATGAATGAAAGGAGTTTGTAATTCAGTGCCTTAATCCATTGATGCTTTTCAACTTTGTTTTGCTTTGTAACGATAGAACATTAGATGTAGGATAGACTCGTCTCAAACCTTTACAATTATAGTGAAGTTGTAGGATAGAAGGTAAAGCCTATTTTTTCTATCGGGTTTTCTTTTTAGTTGCTTACACTTTGTCATGTTCAACTATTACAGATACTTCATTCGAACCTTCTGTTGCACTGGCAAGTCTTGTGCAGCACATACCATTGCAGATGATTACAGTTCTCATCAGGAGCCTTACTACAGATCCAAATGTGAAAGATGCAAGTATGACTCAAGCTCTGTGCAGGTCTGTAAAGGCAGGAAAAGTCTCTTTTTCTTGCCTTTTTTTGAAGCTATTTGTCACTTAGGTTCCATTAAAAAAAAAAAAACAAACATACAAACAAAAGCCATAGGAGAAAAAACCCTCTTAAAATGGTATTCTGAGTTATGCTGTTTGGCATGTTAAGGTAATATGTATTTATGATGCTGTGGATGTTAATGGCATGGTTGCAGTTTAAGGTTGCTGCCTTGATTGCTAATGTGGCTTTTCTCATGCTTTGTTAGGGGTAGGGTGGATGAAGAAGAAGGTTAAATAGAAACTAAGAGGAAGCCAGTGGTGTTCCTTTTAGATGATATGTTTAGATCTCCCACCTTATGGGAGGTGGTATAAACAGGAAACTTCATGGCGTTTACAATCAAGCTGAGACACAAGGCCTTGTTTTCAGAAAATCAACCTTTCTGCTTTTCCAAGAAGCAGAGTGGTGCTCTCACATGATTGTCTTACCCATCATCTGGTTAGAAATGAGTTTTACTGCTTAGTTTTGAGGGTTTTAATCTGCTTAGATATCCTTGTGGATTTTTAGTAGGATTCACAGGGAACAGCCTCTGTTTCCATCTTAAGGCTCTGGAGGTTTGTTGGATGTTCTTTGAATAGAAGAATAGGAATGATGTAAAAACAATTGCATATTATGCTTCTTGTCACTAATGTAAACGTGAGTAAATGTTGAGATAAGTTGCACTGTTAACAGACTGTGATTCAGAGTGCAATCTTGGTTAGTATCTTCAGATATGTGAATAATAGTGATGCAGAAAGTTGACAGTGGGAGAAAGATGAAGACCTTGAAGTTCATTGAATTACTGTTTTCAAAGCCTATGGAAGAAGCTGTTACTGAGCAATGAAGGGTAGAAAAATGAGTAGAGCAGTTAAACAGGAGACTGTTAGAAGTTTGTGTTGTTTTAAAAAAGTAACTTCAAAAAAGTCTTTCACTAAAATAATGTCTGCTGTATTATTTTTTAACTACATCCATTTGAGTGTAGTGTAATACTTATACGTTCATGTAGTGTAGCACTTGCGTATCTTGGTGAAATACTGAGGGTTTTTTCACAGTGAAAACATTTCTCGTGTTTACATTAAATTGAGAAGCCATATTTCATTTGAAAACATAATGAGAAGCAGCAGCATTAATATTGTAATTTGGTGTAAGACACATTATTTAGAGACTTTAGAATCTGTTCAGCCAAGCAGATTCTTTTAACTAAGCTGTGTGCCCAGTCTAAAATTCAAAGCTGGGAAATTCAGAAGGATTTGTGCATGCTAATAATTTGCTAGTAATGTGCTGGTGATTAATTTTCATGTTAGTGTAATTTTAACATTTACATTGCATTACCTGCTTCAACACAATATGATTGTATAATTGTAGCTTTAGAATGGCTTCTCTGTGTGCCTCTGCTTAGGGAAGTAAGGCAGTGCTGAGCTTTGGGTATAATAGGAGTTGTTATTATCAAATAAGTGCTCTTTCTTAATACTAGCCGTGTGGTGGGGTTTTTTCCTCTTCTTTTTGAAAAAGCAGTGCAATCTTACTTGCCTTGTTCATTCTTTGAAGTAATACTTGATTTTAAGAGTCTCTAGTTCTGTTCCAAGGAGCTCACTTTTTAGGTACCCCTGGTTATTTTTGTTTGTAGATACTATCACGTCAACACTGTATCCAGTTTCTTTTTCTATCTCTGGCAACCCTTTGCAGTAATTACTCTCTTCTGGCTTAGAGGAGTGATTGGAAAGAGAATAATGCAGCTGGAATGTCTGGAGCACCAAATGACAAGTTGTCATCAGGCTTGCATCATTCCCAGGTGATGCAGAACTCCAGGCACAACCAGGTCTCTTGATGGGAGTAAGCTGATCTTTGGTGATTGCAAATTAGAGACCTTGTTGTGTGCTTCCTAAGGATAACTTTCATAACACTGCAGAGTCTGTCTAAAGTTGAACACAGATTAGTAGATAATCTGTAATTAGACTAATAAATTGAATCTTTTCAGTGAGGGGTTGTATTAGGTATGGGTTCATATAAGAAATGGCGCTTGCTTTTTTGAATCATTGAGCTGTTCTTCATTAGCTCACCTGTTTCATGAAACCTTACCTGAAGCATCAGTGAGGAAAAGCAGAAAATTGTTGAATCTCTTCTATGATATATGACTACTATAAGGGTCTACTACAGAGACCTCAGAGGAGGTTGACTGCCTGTACTCACTATCCTGACAAGTACTTACTTGCACTTTGCTAAGAAAAACTCCAGACATGACCAGGCCCTTTGCCCTGTTGTTAAAAATGTAAAATATTGTAAAAAGATGTTAAATTTTTGGATGGGGATGCTTTGTAGTCTGAGGATCTTCTGTTGTTGTTGTTTTGGTTTTGTGGGGTTTTTTTTCTAATCTGAGGGATTTGCACTTGAGATGGCAGATTCTTTGTCTGATGTGGCTAAGCAGATATTTTTCTGAAAGAAGTTACTGTCTGAGGTTGCACAGATAACTTTTTTCTATCCGGAGATATCAGAAATATTGTCCTTGTTAGGCACATATATGGATAGCAGACCTGCTCATTTTAGGGTGATATGAGGCAGAAGGTCCTCTTGAGGTCTTTAAGGTTTTTTTTTAATCTGGTCAAACACGAAAAACATCCTCTGTGTTTTTATTCATGATCATCATGTCCCATATTATTATCTGCTTTTGTATTGAAAATGCAGTCATTGATTGCAGCAGAGCAGGAGACAAGTAAATGCAATGCAGAGAGGATTTAGTAACCAAAATGTCTAATCTTCACCTACTAGATGCCAGATTTGATGTTTTTTAGGACAGTCTCAAGCATGTCTGCAAGTTTACTTCTGTTTCCTCTTCTGGCTTTTGTTTCTGTCTTAAGAGTATTGACTCTGCTTTTAAAGAGCAGAAACAGATTTTAAGGATGGGAATTCTCTCTTTGTCAAATATACAGAGAATGAGGCTTCTCTTTACAAGGTTAATCATACTGAAATGATAGCCATTGTCCTATTAGTAACAGTGTTGAATAGTTTAATGGTTAATTATACTGACTAGAGATGACACAGGATGACCCATCACATAACCAGAGCAATGGGATGGAACACAGAGCTCCAGCTCCTACCCAAAAGCACTGGGTTTCATTTGGAGTTTGTGAGTCAGTGTGGTTGAAAGTACATGTAGTATACAGATGGTCATCAAGTATTTTAGAACAGTTGTTCTAATGCAGGGCTCTACAGAATACTCTTTACCTGTCTAAAGAGTTAATTAAGAAAACCAAATATATTGTCATTAGGCTTAAATTAATTGTGCAAGTGTCTGTGCCACTACTGAAAAATATCAAGCCTACAAATTGGAGAGGGGCAAGGAGGAGGTTTGAAGATGATATAGTACTTTGAGGTTCAGGGCCTGTTTTTAGGTTAAGGTTAATTCTTTGCAGGCAAAACCAGTTTTGGCCTACTTTCTTGATTCCCTGTTTTAGAAAGTATATGGAAAGGGTGCTCAGAATAAACATGTTTGAATATAACACCTTGAGGAAATGAGAGCTTTGTGTAAATTGCAAGCCATGATTATGATGTTGCCATGTTTTTTTTTGTGGTAAGATGAAAGAAACCCACTAAGATCTGTGCTTGATTGTTAAAAAGGCAGTCGTAATGATTCCTTGTTTTAGAGAAACCTTTAAATGTTATATGTGCAGATAGTATGTAATTCTAAGATATTTAGATTTTTATAATGCATGTACTATACATTTTTCATATCCAAATTATAAACTCTGTGTAAGTTTTAGGTTGTTTATAGCAATACAACATGTCTATAATGCTTGTCTGGTGTTGCTAAAGACCGTGGTTGGTTTTTTTTTTTTAGCTTGGAATCTGAGGATTGAAACCCTGATTTCAGTCTCTTTGGAGCTCTTTTAATCTCTAGGAAGAATGTAGGGGCTGATAGTTTTGCTTCAGACAAATAATTGATAATAATTGGTGATTATCAATTTGTAGTGATAGTGACTGTTTATTAGAATGGTTACTTGTAACCTGTTCAGTTCTGTGCTAGAGTTCAGCCTCTTAAAATAATTAGTCTTTACAAGGAGCTTTTTCAGAAAAGAAGTAAAGAAATATAGTTCTAACTTGCTATTTTCATTGAATTATAGAATAGAATCATAATGTTACATAGATTGAGTGGAGCCTTTGGAATTGATCTGGTCCAGTCCTTCTCGAAGGAGGGTCAGCTTCAAAGTCAGACATTGTTGCTCAGGGCTTTGTCCATTTGAGTTAACAGCTTTCTGTAGGGATGGAGGTGCCTCAACCTTACTGCATAACTTGTTTCAATGTCTGACCACCCTTATGGTGAAAAATTTTTCCTTCCACTTAATTAGTGGTGCCCCATCTGGTTTGAAGAAGGAGGTCTTGTGGACAATTAAAGAAAATCCAAAATATTGCTAAGTAAAATCTCAGAAGAACAAAGCCTAAATGTCATGTTTTAGCTGGTATTGCCTTATGATATTGTCTGTGACTTAAAATTGTTTCAGCTAACCTGCCTGTCTGCTTTAAGCATCAGTGTAAATTGTCCATTAATTTAAAAGTATGGAATACTCCTATTTTCTGTTGCTGATATTTCACTATATTTTCTAGGCACAGATAAAGTCCCTTCACTTTTCCTTAGCTGGAGTGAAATTCTTCCTCTTGGGGCAGATGTAGACCCCAGGCTGCTGATAGCTATTATCAGATCCTTGTAACACCTGCTGCAATGGATTTAAAATGACTAGATTTTACCTTTTTAACTGAGAGTATTTGAGTTGGATTCCACGCGTGTGGTTCAAAGTTGGAGAGTCTTGCTTTTCAAGTTCAAACTTAATAGTTGGCTTTGGTCTGGTTTGGGTTAAAAGGTGTAGGAGGGGAGGTTCCCAGGTACAGACACTTTTTCAGTAGTAAGTTTTTGCCACAAAATAAAAACGTTAGCTTAATGTCTATAAAACCAGGATTCATATTCTTAAATAACAAATAACAGTTATGTATATAATATATAACTTTATATGCTTATGTATTTTGAGATGGTTGTATTTACTTGTAATGTATTAAATCATTATTAATTACAGTTAAGTGACTTGAAGTAGAATCAAAATTATTTTACTACTTAACATTCTTGCATTACTTATTGTGAGTCTCTGCGTAAGTGTATAACTATCCGTGTAATATATAGAATCTTTTTGTTGAGATTAAAATTAGTGGCATGTTGGGTTTTTGATTTGTTTTATTTTTTTAATTTTTCATTAATATTTCAGAATGATTGACTGGTTGTCTTGGCCTCTGGCTCAGCATGTGGAAACATGGGTGATTGCACTGCTGAAAGGACTGGCTGCAGGGCGTGTGGGTCAAAGTTGAAGAATCTTGCTTTTCAAGTTCAAACGTAATAGTCGGCTTTGGTCTGGTTTGGGTTAAAAGGTGTAGGAGGGGAGGTTCCCAGGTACAGACACTTTTTCAGTAGTAAGTTTTTGCCACAAAATAAAAACGTTAGCTTAATGTCTATAAAACCAGGATTCATATTCTTAAATAACAAATAACAGTTATGTATATAATATATAACTTTATATGCTTATGTATTTTGAGATGGTTGTATTTACTTGTAATGTATTAAATCATTATTAATTACAGTTAAGTGACTTGAAGTAGAATCAAAATTATTTTACTACTTAACATTCTTGCATTACTTATTGTGAGTCTCTGCGTAAGTGTATAACTATCCGTGTAATATATAGAATCTTTTTGTTGAGATTAAAATTAGTGGCATGTTGGGTTTTTGATTTGTTTTATTTTTTTAATTTTTCATTAATATTTCAGAATGATTGACTGGTTGTCTTGGCCTCTGGCTCAGCATGTGGAAACATGGGTGATTGCACTGCTGAAAGGACTGGCTGCAGTCCAGAAATTTACCATCCTCATTGATGTTACTCTGCTTAAGATTGAATTGGTATGTTGGAAAAGAACATTCAAAATTGAAGGAGAGGGAAAGGAATTTGTAACAGCTATGCAATTGCGTAGCGTCTTGTAGATCGCAACAGATATTACATTATTATTCTGCAAAGATGATGTAAATGTATCTATAGCTTTCAGTTGCATGTAATGATTCTGTTTCAAATGGTTGTGGATTTGGAGATATGTTTACATTTTTACTGATATTTTACTTTCTAGATTTACTGAAATGAATGTGGGTTTTTTTAGGTCTTTAATCGACTTTGGTTTCCTCTAGTGAGGCCTGGTGCCCTTGCTGTCCTTTCCCACATGTTGCTTAGTTTTCAGCATTCTCCAGAAGCTTTTCATTTGGTAAGTTACTAAAAAAATGGTTTTCAGTTCTTTGAAGTGTCGCATCTGGTTTCTAAGTGGCTGTAAAGAGTAACAGAGTTACTACGTTTGGAAGGTCCTCATTGTTTCAAGGTTCTAGAATCCGGCTTCTATGGTGCACTGACCGCTAGGCTTGCTAACTTCCAGGTTGAGGCACTTCACCTGTAACCGGAAGCAACCACTGTTCTTCCTGGTACGTACATCTTTCTGGCAGTAGTATCCGGGCACCTATCTTTGAGCGTATACGTCTGGAAATCCGTTTTATGTGGTGTGAAGTCTACTGATCAAGTTGGGCTACAAGTAGGCTTTCAAGCACAACTATCTGGGGAAAACAGATAACCAGTTATCTGCTATATATAACTTAGTTACCCTGGATAGATGCATGAGACCAAGAAGTACTTCACTTTAGGCGAGCTACGCTGTGTTTCAATGTACATACGGGCAAACTGAAGGATGCTATTTTTAATGGCCGCTCTTCAAAATGTGGTTCACCCGTTAAAGCGGTAGATACTGGGGTACGATGATGACTGTATTAGTACATACAGCAAGGTGTATAGTGCCTTCCCTGTTCTCGTAGTCAGTGTTTAGCTTAAAGTTTAATATGAGTCTTTCAGACTTAGCTGTAGTAACAGCCTGGCACACTGTTTCTCTAACCTATCTCCAAGGCTCTTGGGCCCGAAGGGATCACAAACCCTTTGATTAGTGTTAGAGTAATTGCCTTATGCCTGTTACACTGTCTTTTAATGATAGAAGTCTGAAGTTTCTCTCTCCACCCTCCACTGCCCTAATCTTGGCCTAGGATAGACATTTGAGTCACAAATGAAGGAGCCAAGTAGCTTGAATATGCTCACAATGTAAATCTTTCATATATTTGCTGTCTTGCTTTTCTTTGTTTCTGAGAGACAAAACATTCATGAGAAAAATGTAAAATATGAGAAGACTTGTTCTAGAAATAAGTGTTTGCTTTAATGAGGCAGATTTCTGCCATAGGTTGCGTGCAGCACTGCATAAACACCTGTCTTCAGGTGTTATGCCTTCAGGTTAAGGACTTAATTGTGACTTAATTGTCCTTCCAAATAAACAACCTTCTTTACTATTGTTTTTTGAGCTACTGCTGTCATTTAGTATCCTATAATATTTTCCAGCACTTAAACTACTTGTTTATTTTTTTATAATAATTGAAATAACTTTCTACTTGATGTTTTAATACTAATATAAAAAAAGTCGCATGCATTTAAAATACTGGTAGAACTGTGATGAAGAAGGGAAGGAGGTAGAGTAAACATTTCTGATTTCTAGCTAATTTAAAATGGTAATGAATCTGAACTAATTCTTAAATAGATTACGGTATCTGTGGTGAGGGTTTTTTAGCTCGTAGTAAATTACTGTGAGCCAGAAGCCTGGCTCCTTCGCTAGGTGGAGCTGTGAGCCAGGTTCTGTCTTCTAAACTGAAACAGCATGAATGTATTCATTGGCTTCAGATCCCAAGCATTAGACTATGTTTAAGGAAAATTGAGGTTTATTTTAAAAACAGTATCTGTGAAATTAGATCAAGATACTGCACTGTTAGTGGTAGCACAAAAGCAAAATATTTGCTGTTAATATCAGTAATAAGATGAGTACTTGGGATACTAAACCGTTTAAAATCTTAACATGCATATTCTAAGTTCATAAAGTTCCAAAACTGGATATGTGAGCTAAAGAGAGCATTGAATGAGTAATTGTGCTGTTTGAAAATTGTCATAAGAAAAGAATAATGTGTGTTTCTCAACCACTTATTTAAGAACGAAAAATCCCCTGTCACTTGGCATGTGTAAAACAGTAAAGGTGTTAGAACAAAAAAAATGGAAAAATGCCATTAACACCCTTTTTTGTTTGTTTTCCCATTCAGATTGTCCCACACGTGGTCAGTTTGGTTCACTCATTCAAGAGAGATGGCTTACCTTCCAGTACAGCCTTTTTGATACAATTGACTGAGTTGATACATTGTATGATTTATCATTATTCAGGATTTCCAGAGCTCTATGAACCCATTTTGGAAGCTGTTAAGGTATATTAGGAATATTAAGAGAGTGGACTGTTTTTGGTTTGGGTTTTTTTTGCAGATATGAAAGTTATAATCCCATAGGTCTAAATTCTTTAGAACTTCTGCTAGGAAAAAAGAGCTATCCACATAATTTAACGTTAATTCTAACTGTATTTGGAATATGCTAGAAAAATTGTCCTGGGTGTCCATGATATGATTATAGCAGGCTTTAAAAAAAGCCTGAAATGAGATCCTTTATTAAAAGTACAATCTAATTTCTTAAGCCTCATGTAACTATTAATATACTTTTGTGAGGTTTATTCTAGGCAATTCATTTCAACCCAAGCTAGAAACTGTACCTCTTCAAATATAAGTTCAGAGCACTGATAGTATTGAAAATAAGTATGTTCTGAGGAGTACTTGGCATGATATTCATCTTTGGCTAGCTCCAAAACACCATAATTAAGCACTGCATCTTAATACTGCAGTCAGTATTGCATGCCTCTGTGGGTAAAGGATGTTGGCCTATGCTGTTTCAAAGCAAAATTTGGCTTTTTTAGATGAATATTTAAGTGCATAATGCACTTAAAAAGTAAATTAAAAAAGCCCACAACACCCCAAAACAGATAAAATTGAAAAAAAATACAAACCCAAAAACCCCACAAAAAATCTCTTGGGTATTACTGCCTGATTTGATAGCATTAGTATTGCAGTTAAATGCTTTGACGCTTAAAAAGCCTATAAATTTAATTCCAAGTATTCTGGACTTTATTCTTTCATTCTTACGTTTT